AATCCTCAGCATCATCAGCATCATCATCAGCATCATCATCATAGTCATCATCCTCACGACCATCTCCATCACCATCACCATCGTCATCATCATCATCATCATCATCATAAACACCATCATCATAATCATCACCATAATCATCACCATCACCATAATCATCAGCAACAGCATCAGCATCCCCATCAGCATCGGCATCAACATAGGCAGCATCCTCATCCTCATCCTCATCCTCAGCAGCACCATCATCATCAGCATCAGCATCATCAGCATCACCATCACCAGCATCCTCATCACCATCACCATCACCATCGTCGTCATCCCCACCACAATCATCATCATCATCATCATCATCATCATCATCATCGTCGTCGTCGTCATCATCATCATCATCATCAGTACCATCAGTATCATCATCATCGTCGTCGGCATCACCATCAGCATCAGCATCGGCATCATCATTATCCACATCCTCATCCTCAGCCTCATCATCATCGTCATCATCATCGTCACCACCATCATCACCACCATCATCACCACCACCACCATCATCATCAGCATCATCACCATCAGCATCAGCATCGGCATCATCCTCATCCTCATCCTCATCCTCGGCATCATCATCCTTATCCTCATCCTCATCAGCATCCTCATCATAGTCATCATCAACATCACCACCATCACAATCACCATCGTCATCATCACCACCACCACCATCAGCAGCAGCAGCATCGCCATCAGCATCAGCATCAGCATCGGCATCATCATCATCCTCTTCCTCATCCTCGTCCTCATCAGCATCATCAGCATCATCAGCATAGTCAGCATCATCCTCGCCACCATCACCATCACCATCATCATCATCACCACCATCATCACCATCATCAGCATCAGCAGCATCATCCGCGTCGGCATCATCCTAATCGTTATCCCCGTCCTCATCATCAGCATCCGCATCATCATAATCTGCATCATCCTCAACAGCATCATCAGCAGCATCATAGACATCATCATGCTCTCCACAATCACCATCACCATCATGAAAACCATCGCCACTACCACCATCATCATCACCATCCGCATCACCATCACCATGGTGCTCATCCTCATCCTCATCCTCCTCCTCATCCTCATCCTCATCATCATCAGCATCAGCATAATCATAGTCATCATCAGAATCACCACCATCACCATCACCATCGTCATCATCACCATCATCATCATCATCATCAGCATCACCATCAGCATAAGCATCGGCATCAATTCCATCCCCATCCTCATCCGCATCCTCATCATCAACATCAGCAACATCAGCATCATCACCATCATCACAGTCCTCATCATCCTTACCACCATCACCCGAACCATCATCATCATCATCATCATCATCATCATCATCATCATCATCATCACTTCCACCACCACCATCATCATCATCATCAGCATCGACATCTCCATCAGCATCGGCATCGGCAACCTCCCTATCCTCATCCTCATCCTCAGCATCACTCACACCCTCAGCATCATCATCATCCGAATCATCAGCATCATCATCACCACCATCACCATCACCATCAGCATCCTCACCACAATCACCATCACCATCAACATCATCATCACCACCGCCACCACCATCAGCATCATCATCATCAGCACCAGCATCAGCATCGGCATCATCAGCCACATCCTCGCCCTGAGCATCCTCCAAACACTAATAATCCTCATCATCGTCAGCATCATCATCATCAGCATCATCATCAGCATTACCACCACCAACATCATCAGCACCACCACCATCATCATCCTCACCACCATCATCATCAGCGTCAGCATCAGCATCATCACCGTCATCACCACCAACACCATCATCATAATCATCATCAACCTCATCATCATCATCCCCACCGCCATCACCATCACAATCATCATCATGATCAGTATCATCACCAGCATATCCACCAACATCAGCATCAGCATCACCGTCAGCATCAGCATCGGCGTCATCATCGTTCTCATCCGCGTCAGCTTCATCATCCTCATGATAATCCTCATCCTCAGCATCATCATCATCACCATCGTCATAATGATCAGCATCAGCATCATACGCATCATCACCATAGCCATCACCATCCTCACAACCATCACCATCACCATCATCACCATCATCATCATCATCATCATCATCATCACCACAACCATCATTGTCATCAGCATCCGCAGCATCATCCACCTCCACCTCCTCATAATCCTCATCATCAGCATCATCAGCATCATCATCAACATCACCATCAAGATACGTATCGTCATCAGCATACCACCGCCACCACCCCATCACCATCATCATCCTCACCACCACCAACATCATCAGTATCACCAGCATGACCGTCAGCATCAGCATCGCCATCACCATCGTCATCCGCATCCTCATCCTCACCTGCATCCTCAGCATCATCCTCATCCACATCATCATCCGCATCATCATCATCATCATCATCATCAGCATCATCCTCATCATCATCATAGTTATCATGACTGTTATCATCCTTACCAACATCACCATCACCATCATCATCACCACCACCATCACCATCACCATCACCAGCATCATCATACCATCCTAATCATCAGCATCATCATCAGCATCAGCATCGGCATCCTCATTATCATCATCCTCACCATCATCCTCATCCTCATGGGCATCATCATCACCGTGAGCATCAGCATCATCATAGTCGTCATCCTGCTCCCCACCACCATCATCATCGCCATCAGCATCACAATCAGCATCAGCATCAGCATCGGCATCATCATCATCATCATCATCATCATCATCATCGTCATCATCATCAATCATCATATTCATCATGATCATCATCATCATCATCATCATCATCATCATCATCATCATCATCATCATCATCCGTATCCTCAGCCTCATCCTCCTCATCATCAACATCATCAGCATCATTAGCATCAGCATCATCATAATCAGCATCAGTATCAGCATCAGCATCAGCATCATCATTGGAGTCATCATCATCCTCACCACCATCACCATCACCATCACCATCACCATCATCATCATCATCATCATCATCATAATCATCATCATCATCATCATCATCATCACCAGCATCATCATCATCAGCATCAGAATCATCAGCATCAGCATCATCATCATCCTCATCCTCATCTTCATTCGCATCCTCCTCCTCATCCTCATCATCAGCATCATAATCCTCAGCATCAGCATCAGCATCATCAGAGTCATCATCATCCTCACCACCATCATCATCACCATCATCATCATCATCATCATCATCATCATCATCATCACCAGCATCATTATCATCAGCATCATAATCATGAGCATCAGCATCATCATCATCATCCTCATCCTCATCTTCATCCGCATCCTCCTCCTCATCCTCATCATCATCAGCATCATGATCATCAGCATCAGCATCAGCATCATCAGAGTCATCATTATCCTCACCACCATCACCATCACGATCATCACCAGTACCACCATCATCATCAGCAGCATCATCATCAGCAACATTATCATAGTCATCATCATCCTCACCACCATCACCATCACCATCACCATCATCACCACCACCATCATCATCAGCAGCATCATCATCAGCATCTTCATCATCAGCTTCATCATCAGCATCATCATCAGCATCATCAGATTCATCATCATCCTCACCACCATCATCATCACAATCACCATCATCAGCACCACCACCATCATCATCATCATTATCATCATTATCAGCATCACCATCATCATCAGCATCGGCAGCATCCTCATCCTCATCCTCAGCAGAATCCTCATCCTCATCCTCATCAGCATCAGCATCAGCAGCAGCATCATCATCATCATAGTCATCATCCTCACCACCATCACCATCACCATCATCATTAAAACCACCACCACCACCATCATGTTCATCATCACCATCAACATCACCATTCGCATCAGCATCGGCATCATCCTCATCAGCAGCAGCAGCATCACCATCAGCATCCTCATCAGCATCCTCATCCTCATCCTCATCCTCATCCAGCGGGTGGGCGCGCCGGGACGCGGCTTCGCGAAAGCGAGTGGCAGGCGAAGGCTGGGCGGCACGGGATGGCGCGGGCGTCGGGCACTGGCCGGCTGGCCACGCGAGGCTTCGGGCACGCGGGGGCGTGCCGGAGAAACAAATACAGTTGCTGGGCGCGGCTGGCGCACGCACGCGAGCGCGGGCGGCAGGCCCCGGCTGGCCTGCCCGCGTCGAGGGAGGCTTTGGCAGGTCAGAGGCGCTCCCTACCGCCGCGACGCAAAATGCTAGGTCTGCCGCTGGCGACGGGGGAGCCCGGCGCCGACCGGCTCATTCGCCCACCCGCGGAGCCGCCAGCAGGCGGAGTGCGTTGGTCAACTCGTGGCGAGCTCGGGCTCTGTCCCGCAGTGGCAGCAGAGCAGCGTTGCTGGCCTGGCCTGCCCGGCAGGCGCCCCGCCGGAGCCTCGATCCTGAAGTACCCTCCTCATTCGCATGCCTCAAATGGGCGTCCTCTGCATCTGACCAAGCGGCATCGGATGCACCAAGGTGCTGCACAAGTTGGCCTGCGGGCGGCGGGGTCTGGCATGAGAGGACTGCGGGCGGGTGTAGGAGAGGAAGAGGAAGGGAAGGCAGTGCGAGTGGAGGTGCTGGCAGGCCATGCGTGGGAGAATGGGTGGTCGGGGGCGACGATGAGAGCGAAAAACCAAAGGGAGGTCAACACATGTACCCATGGGCGCCGATGGTCTATGCCTTCGGCGAGGCTCCGAGGCGAACACGCGTATTGCTCCCCCCTGGGCTATTCGCCCCTATCGTCGCCTCCGAGATGGGAGGGGTGAAGGAGGGAAGGAGAGGGGAGAGAGGGGAGGAAGGGGGAGTGGAAGGGAGCACGGAGGGAGCAATGATGGGAGCAGAGAGGAATGGGCTCGAGGGGGGAAGACGGGGAGAGCCGACCTCTGGACCAGCACGGCCAGGTCCCCGCCGCCCAGCGCGCCCGCGGACCCTAGCTGCCGCTGTCTTTGGTTGAAGCACGAGCGGGGTTCGGCATTGCGTTCTACGTAATAGAGAAAGAGAGAAAGAGAGAGAGGGAGAGATGGAGCGAGAGGGCGAGAGGGACAGAGAGAAGAGAGAGAGAGAGAGAGAAAACAAAAAATCCTCATCAATATTCGATCCTCGGTGCCTGATCCTTGATCCTCGCTCCTCGCTCCTCCTCCTCCTCCTCCACCTCCTCCTCCTCCTCCTCCTCCTCCTCCTCCTCCTCCTCCTCCTCCCCCTCCTCCTCCTCCTCCTCCTCCTCCTCCTGGTCTTCCTCCTCCTCCTCATCCTTCTCCTCCTCCTCCTGCTCCTCTGTCCGAATCGGACAGTCCGATGCTGCTGCCCTGCGGCAACGACAGCCTGCCCCGCCCTTGCCAAGAACCGATGCGGGATGCAGACCTCAAAACGCTGGAGAATGTGATAATGGCATCGCCCTTCCGCTAATCCGCGCCCTTGCTCAGTCTAACGCGGGCCCCTTGGGTGACCCTTGTCACTGCCGTGGATGCCTCTGCTGCTGTTCCTCCGATAATTGATCCTCGATCCACGATCCTCCTCAAGCTCCTCCTCCTCCTTTTCCTCCTCTTCCTCCTCCTCCTCCTCTCTCCTTCTTCTCCTCCTCCTCGATCTTCCACCCTCGACCCTCGACACTCAATCCTCGATCCTCGATCCTCGATCCTCGATCCTCCTCCTCCATCCTCCACCTCCTCCTCCTGCTCCTCGTCCTGCTCCTCCGTCTGATGCTGCTGCCGCTCAACGTCGCCGTCGCGGCCCGCCACTGCCGCTGTCGCCGCCGCCGTTCTCCAGCCGCTGCCGGACGCCGTCGAAAAAGCGCGTGGCGCCTTGGGCGGCGTCCAGCTCGGCGCCCAGCTCCTCTGGTGGGGGAAAACGGAAGGGGGGACCGGCTCGGGGTGGGAACGCCAAGCTTGGACCGGCGATACATCGCCGATAGATCGGCGGTGCGCGCCCGACAGCAAGACCGCGCGGTCCCAGGCGGATGGGCCTGTCGGGCCACCCCTCGGCGAGGAGCCGGCGATCGGGGGTGGAAATGCATCTCACCCCGAGCCAGTCCCCAACTTTTAACCCCGGTCCTCATAGTGGAGAAGGGCGACCTCCAGGGCACAGTCCGCACATGCCCGGTGCGCCGGCGGGCCGGCGAACATGCCGCGGGCGACGGCTCGGGTGCCAATGGCGGCTGCACGGGCCGAGGGCGGGGGTCGAGCTCGGAGGTGGTGGGGAGAGGAGGGAACGGAGGGAGGGAAAGAGCAGCAGTGGCAACAGGATCATGAAGGGAGGGAGAGAGAGAGAGAGAAAGAAAGAAAGAAACAGCGAAAAAAGAAAGATGTTTGACATCCACGGCCACAGACTTCCGCACAGACGGCAAATCGTCTCGAGATCGGCAGTGACCCCGACCCTCTTGCACTTAGGGTGGAGGCCGTTGCCCAATCTCGTCAAGACTGCACTTCGAGCAGGCGGCCTGCCCAGGCGTTGCTTCGCAAGCAGCCTCATTTGACCTCAAATCGTGTACGCAGCTCAGACCTGGCAGACACAAGCGAAACTGTTGCCGCTGAAATCTGCCAAGAGGCAACGAGTTCCCGCAATACAGAGGGAGCTACACGCAGCAGTCGAGAACAACCTCCAGGAGCAGGTTTTGCAGCGGATCTCGATCCACGCAGACAGTGAGGACACTGCCAGAACCGACCAACCTAACTCTGAGAGAGAGAAATTGGGAGCGAGAGAGAGGAATGTGAGAAAGAGAGAGAGAGAGAGAGAGAAAAAAAACAAAAAAAAAAACATGGGTACATGCGTCCCGAAGTCCGCACTTGCAACGGGCACCTGCCGGCACATCCCACGACGGCTCCGTTGAGGATGAGGGCGATGCCCTGAACAATTAGGAACGCTGACGTGTGGCGTCGCAGCTGCTTCCTACACAGAGTGAACAGACCACGCCAGAAGCAGAAGCAGAAGTACGGGGCATAAAAACCAAGCGTGTGGAAGGCGAGGATGAGGACGACGGGGGGCGAGGAGGGCAACCAAGCAGGCGGAGGGACGAGAAGGAGGATCTAGAAGAAGGAGGAGGAGGAGATGGGGGGGATGATGAGCAGAAGGAGGAGGAGGAAAATGAAAAACGAAAGGGAAGGAGGACGAGGATTCCTCCTCGTCCTCGTCCTCGTCCTCCTCTTCCTCGCTTCCCGCTTCCCCCCTTCCCGCTCTCACTCCTCCGTGTCCTCCTCCTTCCCGGCGAGGAATCAAACGAGGAATGACTGACTGAGGCGTCCCTGACCAAGCGAGATCTCCGCACTACGCTAAGGTCACATTATATCCAAAGGCTCATGCACCCCTTATCCGGCACGAGCTCTGCTTAGCGAAAGCATGTCTGGCCAAACCACAAGAGGCTGTGGGGTGAGCGGGTGGCCATAGGGCCGAAGAGTTTGACGGGGGTTGGGAGACCCAACCATACGCTTCGGCTAAGGCGAATCCCATATCCAACTCTGTTGCACCGTAATAACGATAACCCCAGAAATAGGACATCGTCGCGGGAGCGACGGGCCATGTCAAGCGAAAGTGTGGTCGGTCTCAATGGCAAGTGGTGCGCCTCGCGACGAGGCGCGGTCATATATTGGCGGCCAACCACTTGAGCACAAACGGCCGCGGACAAACGCTCGTTATCTCTCGCCTTGGCCCCAACATCCTTTTGAGTCGGGGGGGCGGAGACGAAGCATGAGTCCGCCGCCAACTATACAGCAAAACGCTAGATTACACCAGGTAGACAGCAGCAAGCGGGCACAACAAGGCAGGTCGACACGCACGCAGGTCCCCTTGCAAGCAAGATGCCTCGCAGGCAGGTTAACTTGCAGATGACTACTCCTCAGGTGGCCCCTGATAACGACCCCAGGAGTCTTGCGACCCTGGAGGCTGGCCACGTCGCTGGCATACTAAGGTGGTGGGGTGGCCTCAGTTGGTTGTGGATCGTCGTTGCAGACGTTTTTAGCAGGTTGTCCTGCATCAGCGTCGGCATGACAAGTTTCGGCGCGATGACCGCGGCAAACTAGACCACCAATGCTGCCAGGGGTTCGCTGAACAATGTGAGCAGAAGACCTCATGCGCTCTAGTAGAGAATCAAGCTGTTGCTGGGTCCTTGGCATTTGGTGGCTTAGTGGCTGTGGTAGTTGCTGTGCACGCGATGAGATAACTGTTAGGATCTGGGAGTTGGGAATATTGAAGCCTGCCGTCTCGGCCTCAAAGCGTGCTATCCCGAAGCGTGCTAACGTCTGGTCGATCCGCTCTCCCGCATGGACGCGAAAGTCGATGAGAGCCGTTCCCTAATTAACTTGGCGTTCCTCCTCTAGATGTTCAAACTGCGCGCTGAGGCGCACACGATGTAGGTGGCGCCGTCAGTATGGCGACCGCCGACATTTACGCCAAAATTAATGACTACAGAAGGTACTCTCATGCCTACGGTCCTCGTGAGCCCTCCCCGACCACGCTGTCATGCCGCGGCCAGTTGAGAGGGGGGCCATGCTGCCTGTAGTCACATTGGTCCAGGCGTGTATTTGGCGAACAAACTAGCGGAAAAGTACGTTACATACAGGGCCCCAATGGGGGCCGGTAGCACGCGCGTCGTCTCTGCCACGCTGCGCGTGCCCAACAACACATCCGATAGTGACCCTTTGGATGCCAAACATGGTAATACCAATCCAATGGCCCCTCAGGTCGCGGTCGGAAGTTTGTGGCTGTGGGTCATGATGCGATGTCGTTGTTAGCCTGCGTGGGGGGGTGGAGGAGGCACAGCATCGTATCGCATGTTGACACGCATCGTGTCTTCAAAAAACTGTCCAATTGGAGTGGGAGGGTGAATTTCAGGAGTGTAGTAGCGCAGAGAAGTAAGACTCGTGTAACAGGCCTCCGCGTGAACAGAAGTAGCACTGCAATTGTCTTTGCGGTTGCCCACTGCACCCTGATGTTCCACCATGTCAGTAGTCCACCAGATAGTGCCGTGGATGGTGAGGCGTAGAGCTTAGAGCTGACCACCATTGGCCAGCTCCGCTACCAACTTTGAAAGGGGGTTGGGAGACCCAACCATACGCTCCGCCTGAGGCGAAGCCCATGTCCAACTCTGTTGTGCCGTAATAACGATAGTCCCAGAAGTAGAAGATCGTCGCGGGAGCGATGGGCCATGTCAAGCGAAGATGTTTGCGGTCTCAATGGCAAGTAGTGCGCCTCGCGATGAGGCGCAGTCATAGATTGGCGGCCAGCCGCTTGAGCACAAGCGGCCGCGGACAAACGCTCGCTATCTCTCGCCTTTGCCCTAACCTTCTCTAGAGCCAAAGCTCGTTGTTCACCCAGCTTGGTCCCATCTGATCACGCGACGCCCAGACGCCATCGTGAAGGTCTTTCAGGCGATGGAGGCACGGCTATTTCAAGTTCTCCTGACCTGGTTGACCCAAGAATGGCATTGCTCAACCATCGCTAATGCTGCCCTGCAAGTGGATTGTGCTGATCTGCCACCGTACCCTTAAGACACGAGTTGGAGTGTCCTCAGGTTATTGGCCTAATCCCTCAAGCCTCTGTCCTCAATCCTGAGGATTACTTGAGGGGCCCTGACCCGAAATTGCCAAATCTCTTCGGGGCTTGGCGCGTGCCTCCTGGGCTCCCCCGAGGGTTGTCGCATGACCTGGCCGGGGCCAGGAGGGGCCCAAGACGGGCCAAGAGACCCCCAAGAGCTCGCCCAGACGGTCCAAGACGCCCAAGACGATACCAAGACGGCCCAAGAAGCCTTCGAGGAGCCCCAAGAGCCGTCCCAAGAGGGCCCCGGGAGGCCAAAATCATTGATGCTCCTTCGATTGCTCAATGTGATTGGGGTCCTCGATTTTACGAGCTTCCGACGCTTCAAGACGGCCCAAGAGGCCCCCAAGACAGCCCCAAGACGGCCTCAGAGGCCCCCAGAAGGCCAAAGACGGCCCAAGAGGGCTCCAAGACGGCGCCACAAGCGGCCAAGACGGCCCAAGAGGGCCCAAAAACAGCCCCGATAAGGGCCCAAGAGAGGGAACGCGAACCGAAAATTCGCCGGCCCAACGGGCCAGAGGCGTGCTAAGATCTCCGGTAACTTGTTAACAATATTTCTAGTTCACGCGCGGGGAGCGGCCCCTGGGGGCCCCCGGACGAAAAGTACCCCGGCAAGGTCCCGAGAGAAGCCCGGGAGAAGCCACCAGACCACTCCAGGGGAGGGTATTTTTCGACACCCCTCACGAGGATCGTGGCCTCCGAGGGGGGAGCCGCAATCGACTACCCCCAAGAGCCCCCCAAGAGGCCCTGGGGGCCTCCAAAACGCCGCCAAGGAGCCCCAAGAGACTCCCAAGAGGTCCCCAAGAGGCCCCCAAGAGGCCCTAAAGAGGGCTCCAGGGCCGGCGGCATGAGCGAAGCGATTAAATAATCTTCCGCCCCGAGGGGCCCCCAGGAGGCTCCAAATAGGCACCACGAGGCCCCCAAGGGGGCCCAAGAGACCTCGATGAGCCACCCAAGACGCTCCAAAAGGTCCTACAACGGCCCCCACGAGGCCTCAAAACGGCATCCGAGAAGCCTGGCCTATGACCCAGAACCCAGGCACGGTGGCGTGATAGGCCGAAGGCCGTTAGATCCGCCGCCCCCTGCTTGCAGGGGTGCCTGGCGTGTTAGATTTTATCGGTTTTGGTTTTGGTTCTTTTTCTAAAAGAACTCCCCAGTGGGCTTCGGCCCGTCCCGCCGGCCACCCGGAAAGGATGCCCAGGAGCTCAATTCCCCAATTTCCTGCCCCAGACGGTTCCAAGATGGCCTCCAAGATGCCTCTAAGACGGCCAGGATGGTCTCTAAGACGGCTAAGATGGCCTTATGATGCCTCCAAGACGGTCCAAGACGGCCTCCAAAACGGCCCAAGAGAGTCCAAGACGGCCCAAGACGGCCCAAGAGGCCCCCCAGAGGCCTCCCAGACGGCCCAAGAGGCCTCCAAGAGGTCCTCCAGGAGAGTCCGAAGAGGCCAAAATCATTGATTTTCCCTTGGTTTTTGAAGGATTTTGGCATTTGCGCCTTTTCGGCTCTCCGACGGCTCAAGACGGCCCAAGAAGCCCCCAAGATCGCCCAAGAGGCCCCCAAGAGAGCCCCATGATGGCCCAAGTGGCCTCCAAGA